CCTTGAGGTCTAAAATGATGAAGTTCTTGTTCTTAAAAGGCCCGATTAAGAGATGATTGGCGAGATAAGCGCAGACTGGCTCCAGTTAACTCAGAAGCTCTGCCTGGGCACTGTGATTAGTAATTGTGTGCTGTCATGTGGAGAAAAGGGATAAAAGATTGTAACTCTTCAGCTGTATTGGAATAAACAGCCTAGATATCAAGACTGCGTATTAGTTTTCCACATTTAAAACCTTTTGAAAGTGGCTGAGGGAACCTCACTCTGCTTCCCCTGTCTCATCCCCTCTTTTTCTCCTGCCCTCTGTCCGGATGGTGTCTGCCCCAGGGCTGGGAAGAAGGAATGGTTGGGATGAAGAAGGGAGGACGCCGTCTTCTGTGTGTGCCGCCCAGCCTGGCGTACGGTGCCCAGGGCATCCCGAGCAGGATTCCTGCGGACAGCACCCTCGTCTTTGAGACCGAGATCCGCAGGGTAGGACCGGGACTCTTTCGGTACCAGTGTCTAATTACGAGTGGAAGCACCTGAGTCAGTTTGAACTGCAATAACTAGGCCCTCCTGTACAGTACCTGCCCAGCTGAGATGCACAATGCCTGAAAATAATATCATAATAATTCTTTGCACTTATATAGTGCTTTTCTGGACACACCACTCAAAGCGCTTTACAGGTCATGGGGAATCCCACTGCTAACACCAATATGCAGCCCCACCTGGATACCTGGATGACGCGACAGCAGCCAGAGTGCGCCAGAACGCTCACCACACACCAGCTCTCAGTGGGGAGGAGAGCAGAGTGATGGAGCCAGTTCAGAGATGGGGGATTATTAGGAGGCCATGATTGTTAAAGGCCAGGGGGAAATTTGGCCAGGATGCCAGGGTAACACCCCTACTCTTTTCAAGAGACATCCTGGGATTTTTAATGACCACAGAGAGTCTGGACCTTGGTTTTACGTCTCATCCGAAGGACTGTGCCTTTTTATAGTATAGTGTTCCTGTCACTATACTGGGGCAGTAGGGCCCACACAGACTGCAGGGTGAGCGCCCCCTACTGGCCCCACTAACACCTCTTCCAGCAGCAACCTTTTTCCCAGGAGGTCTCCCATCCAGGTACTGGCCAGGCTCACACCTGCTGAGCTCCAGTGGGGCTGCCAGTTGTGAGTTGCAGGTTGGTGTGGCCGCTGGCTTGAGACAAGAAAATAATGTTTGATTGAGGCAGCTCTCTGGTTCCAATGAGTTAGACTCTTGGGCTCCATTGCTCTATCCTACCGGAAGAGGCTGATGCCCTGCACTCTGGCTTGAGTCTGGGGCTGCAAGTGTGCGGTGTTGGTCAGGGCTCAGCTGTCAGTGAACCTGGCCAGTACCTGGATGGGAGACCCCCTGGGAAAAACTGAGGTTGCTGCTGGAAGAGGTGTTAGTGGGGCCAGCAGGGGGCGCTCACCCTGCAGTCCATGTGAGTCCTAATGCCCCAGTATAGTGACGGGGACACTATACTGTAAACAGGCGCCCTCCTTCGGATGAGACGTAAAACCGAGGCCCTGACTCTCTGTGGTCATTAAAAATCCCAGGGCGTTTCTCGAAAAGAGTAGGGGTGTTACCCTGGCGTCCTGGCCAAATTTCCCATTGGCCCTTACCAATCATGGCCTCCTAATAATCCCCATCTATGAACTGGCTTCATTACTCTGCTCTCCTCCCCACTGAGAGCTGGTGTGTGGGGAGCGTTCTGGCGCACTATGGCTGCCGTCGCATCATCCAGGTGGGGCTGCACACTGGTGGTGGTGGAGGGGATCCCCATTACCTGTAAAGAGCTTTGAGTGGAGTGTCCAGAAAAGCGCTATATAAGCGTAAGCAAATAATAATAATATTATAACAGGAGGGTTGTGGGTGGAGCAGTCCTGCTGTACCCTTAAGCAAGGCAGTCCACTCAGATGGGGTTGTGTACCTGCTGAGCTTCAGTGGGCAGCCAGTGGGGGAGCTGCAGGGTGATGGGACTGCTGGCTGCGGAAGATATGGAACGTTCTGGAAGTTCCGAGCAGATTCGTTTTCATTCTTTTGATCCGCGAAATGGAAATCTGTTGGGTTGGTATTTTTCCCCCCCGGCGTGACGACCGACTCGTTTCGGATTGCGCAGGTGAAGTTCGCGAAGGACAGCGGGACTGACCGGCTCGGTGCGGGGTCACGGGACTCGGCGGCCCCTTCGCCCGCCCCCAGCGTGGATAGCCTGGGCCCCGAAACCCACCTGCAGCCCCTCGCCTCGACCCCGCCCAAGCCTGGGTAGGAGACGGCTGCCTGGTTAAAAACTCCGCATGTATAGATGTTTGATCTCTTTATGGGCTTTTTGAGCTGCGGTTTCTTGGACAGATTGTGCCGAAGAAGTACGAAGGAAGATGGCTTTCCGTTATTTTCAATTATTGTTAACTACATAAAATGACAAAAATGCAATATTTCACACCAGGGGTTGGTCTCTGTTACTGACCTTGCGGCTCCTAAAAACCTAAAACTGCCGGAATTGCTTTACTGTTTTTTTTTATCTGTTAAATAATTCCTGAGCATTGGAATAAGTTAGACACACCCGGACCATGTTATTAATGGCCTGTGTGTGTGTCTGAAGCCTTTTCATCTTGGTTGTGCGGTATCTATCACAAGGCTGTAAGCGGAGCGTGGGCCCTGTGGCTCAGGATCTGCGCCTGTGGCTGAGAGGTTGCCGGTTCAAATCCCGCGGCCGGCAGAGGAATCCTACTCCGTTGGGCCCCTTCAACCCAGCTGCTCCAGGGGCGCTGTACAATGGCTGACCCTGCGCTCTGACCCCCAGCTTCTCTCCCTGTCTGTGTGTCTCATGGAGAGCAAGCTGGGGTCTGCGAAAAGACTCATGCCTAATGCAAGAAATTGTACATGGCCCATAAATTGATCTTATCCTATCTCTTCGGTGTGTGCTGAAATGCACTGCAGGGATCTTGAGGGTGTGGTGCATAACCATGGCTACCTTTCAGCGCCTGTAGACAAGGGATCCCAGAATCCATCAGTTTTTTCGGTTTTGAGGGATGAACAGTTCTACCCCATGGTGGGAGTGTGGGAGAAAGTACCCAGCCATGTTGTTAAAAAAACGATACCCTGGCTTCTTTCAAGAAATGGTCGGATGAGATCCTCCAGCCCAGTGAGCTCCTACCCAAAAGAGTTAGACAGGCCAAAGGACCTTCACGTTTGTAACCTGTTCTTAAAATTTGAAAATTGAAATTGTTGTGGAAAAAATTCCATTTTTTTTTTTTAGATTCTGTGGTCTCAAGTTTGGGGTGGCGGGGGGGCTCCTGTGCTAGATTACAGACACGTTCATTTCCTTTTTCAGTTTTCGCCTCTAACGACTCCCCTCTGTCTTCCTCTCTCTCCTTGCAGAGATCTGCCGCTGCGCGCCAAGTCCAACTCCCTCAGCGAACAGCTGACGGTGAGAGTCTTCCGCCCCCTGTGTCAGGATTCCTGCCACTGTCGCCTAAAACCCCTCCAGAGCCAGACCTGGAACTCCCACTAGCAGGAAACGCTGGTGCCCGATCGGTTCTAGAGTTTCGATAGCCATAAATTAATTGCAGGTTATTCCCGGTTTGTCATGTCTGAAAAGGACTTGCAGTCCAGTGGGTCCGCGTTTTCCGTGAGATTAAAATGACCGTTTTTTGTAAAATAACGCCCTATACCTTTAAGTATATTTTATATCGTTTAAATTATGTAGCACGAGTCAAAATGACATGCGCCGCTTGGTTACGCCCTTGGCCACGAGTGTCATGTTGGAAATGCTGGTCCACGGTGATGCTGTGGTTGAAAATTTCTTTCTCTCTCACATTTTCTCTCTCAAATTCCCTCTACAGTAAACATAACTGATGCTTTCTAGTATCTTCTGTATTTTTATGTGTACATGTCTGTGTGAACTGTGTTTTTGTTTTGTACGCGTCGCAAGTTGATGTCCTGAAGGTATTTAGTCGGTGGCACGTCCCATCATTCTCCTCTGTAGGGTGTAAGTACGGTCAAACTTGCGCGCGCGGCGCACAACTATAGCATTTGCCATTATCTGAAATAGGAAAACGTAGTTGAAATAACGCTAAATTTAAAATACCCTCGCGTAAATTGGGGGAACCCTCTGTACTTTCTGGCCCAATACAAAGTATCTGGTGGGGCGTGATGCTTCTGGTGAGGTACGGTGCAGCAGACAGTGCCGCCCTCTACGGTCTTGCTGTGCCTGGAGTTCCTCGGTGCTCAACGTCAGCGTTGTCTTTGTGTTAACCCCCACTCAAACTGTGACCCACCAACACCGGCCCGCAGAACCCAGACGCCACAAAGGCCAAGCTGATCTCCCGCATGGCGAAGATGGGCCAGCCGATGCTGCCCTTCCTCACGGGGGCAGTGTCCTCCCAGCCAGACTCCAGCGACTCGGAGATGGAGGTAAAGGCTTTTTTTTTGGGGGGAGGGGGGAGTTGATGAGAGTGCCGGTGGGTGATTTCAAAACCCGAAGCAGCAGCAGCTTCTTTTCTAACAACTAACTGATCAGAGATGGCAACAAAAGTCTCTGCGCAAGTGTGCTGAGAGATTAGACGCTTCTAGAGTTGCAGGTGTGTTTCTTTACCTGACAATAGTGTCTTAACCACAACTTGGGGATTAATGGGGATTCCGTAAACATTAAAAGAGGCATGAGCTGTTAAATAGCGTTTATTACTTAATAAACCAGTGGATTCGTGTTTCAAGCACGTTGCTATCGGCTAAGTCTGCAGCTGCTCATGCCAGTTTCACTGGGATTGTGTGTG